GCCTCCGTCCGCCTGACATCGTGTACCCGGGTTTCAGCTGGCCTTCATACAAGACATACATACCCGTACAGGTGGCAACCCTAGATGGAAGCCCCCCTCCCCCTCTTTCTATTATTGGGAAGGTTTGTCCAGTCTTCTTCTACGTTATGTTCGGGTTCATCTTGTAAGTGTTCCGACAACTGCGTTACATGGTCACTACCGTTTTATGTGCAAATGATAAAAATTCGTTTTTGACGAAATTAACAAAAACATTTTCATTCGTCTCGTCAGACAAAAAATTTTTTTTAATGCAATTTCGGATTTGGAGACAAAGAATGCTGGACGGTCATCGGTGCATTCTGTGCATGCGCACCGTCATCCCAGAGGCAAGGTGCATGACATCACATGATGCCACGTATAAGCGGCATCCGGTGATGGCGCCATCTTATACCGTGATATCTTCATGTGTTCTTAAGCGCCCAGCTTAAAAAATGGAGGCACACATGCGCAGGACGTGCTGGTGGCCAATTATGGAGTGTTGAGGTTTTGCCGAGTCCGTTATAGGCTGGGGCGGGTGACTTCTTCTGGTTCTGGAGGACATCATGGAGAGACGAGTTGGTATTATTAGTACAAACATCAGAAATTACAGAGGAAGTAAAGTGTGGAAGCTGCACCAAAAAAATCCCGGCAGAGGACGAAGGATGTCCCTTCCCCCTCCCTAGTAACTGTACACATTAGACATGACTGTGATTCATTCTTGTATGGTGACTCTATTCCATGGATCATCTATCTTCATCAACAGAGAAACTTCCTCTTCTCACCGGAGATTCTGCCACATTTCCTGTAAGTGATCAGTACATAGAGTAGAGCCCAGATCTGAGGGATCGGCCCTGACCAGCCGCTCACATCACAGATTTCTACCACAGATTGTAACTTTCACTTTCACTTCTGGAGAATCCTATCACCGGGAATGAATTATCTCATCAGATCCAGTCCATTCCGGAGCTTTATACTGTAATGATGAAAAGTCTCCAGAACACACATTATTACCTCAGTAATACCCACACCCTGGTAGAGACATTCTTTGCAATGTGTACATCCCCACTACACACTGTTCTCTCTGACAGCTCTCCTCCATCATCCACACTACATTCTCTGACAGCTCTCCCCCACCATCCACACTACATTCTCTGACAGCTCTCCTCCCACCATCCACACTACATTCTCTGACAGCTCTCCTCCCACCATCCACACTACATTCTCTGACAGCTCTCCTCCACCAATCACACTACATTCTCTGACAACTCTCCTCCACCATCCACACTACATTCTGTGACAGCTCTCCTCCACCATCCACACTACATTCTGTGACAGCTCTCCTCCACCATCCACACTACATTCTGTGACAGCTCTCCTCCACCATCCACACTACATTCTGTGACAGCTCTCCTCCACCATCCACACTACATTCTGTGACAGCTCTCCTCCACCATCCACACTACATTCTGTGACAGCTCTCCTCCACCATCCACACTACATTCTGTGACAGCTCTCCTCCACCATCCACACTACATTCTGTGACAGCTCTCCTCCACCATCCACACTACATTCTGTGACAGCTCTCCTCCACCATCCACACTACATTCTGTGACAGCTCTCCTCCACCATCCACACTACATTCTGTGACAGCTCTCCTCCACCATCCACACTACATTCTGTGACAGCTCTCCTCCACCATCCACACTACATTCTGTGACAGCTCTCCTCCACCATCCACACTACATTCTGTGACAGCTCTCCTCCACCATCCACACTACATTCTGTGACAGCTCTCCTCCACCATCCACACTACATTCTGTGACAGCTCTCCTCCACCATCCACACTACATTCTGTGACAGCTCTCCTCCACCATCCACACTACATTCTGTGACAGCTCTCCTCCACCATCCACACTACATTCTGTGACAGCTCTCCTCCACCATCCACACTACATTCTGTGACAGCTCTCCTCCACCATCCACACTACATTCTGTGACAGCTCTCCTCCACCATCCACACTACATTCTGTGACAGCTCTCCTCCACCATCCACACTACATTCTGTGACAGCTCTCCTCCACCATCCACACTACATTCTGTGACAGCTCTCCTCCACCATCCACACTACATTCTGTGACAGCTCTCCTCCACCATCCACACTACATTCTGTGACAGCTCTCCTCCACCATCCACACTACATTCTGTGACAGCTCTCCTCCACCATCCACACTACATTCTGTGACAGCTCTCCTCCACCATCCACACTACATTCTGTGACAGCTCTCCTCCACCATCCACACTACATTCTGTGACAGCTCTCCTCCACCATCCACACTACATTCTGTGACAGCTCTCCTCCACCATCCACACTACATTCTGTGACAGCTCTCCTCCACCATCCACACTACATTCTGTGACAGCTCTCCTCCACCATCCACACTACATTCTGTGACAGCTCTCCTCCACCATCCACACTACATTCTGTGACAGCTCTCCTCCACCATCCACACTACATTCTGTGACAGCTCTCCTCCACCATCCACACTACATTCTGTGACAGCTCTCCTCCACCATCCACACTACATTCTGTGACAGCTCTCCTCCACCATCCACACTACATTCTGTGACAGCTCTCCTCCACCATCCACACTACATTCTGTGACAGCTCTCCTCCACCATCCACACTACATTCTGTGACAGCTCTCCTCCACCATCCACACTACATTCTGTGACAGCTCTCCTCCACCATCCACACTACATTCTGTGACAGCTCTCCTCCACCATCCACACTACATTCTGTGACAGCTCTCCTCCACCATCCACACTACATTCTGTGACAGCTCTCCTCCACCATCCACACTACATTCTGTGACAGCTCTCCTCCACCATCCACACTACATTCTGTGACAGCTCTCCTCCACCATCCACACTACATTCTGTGACAGCTCTCCTCCACCATCCACACTACATTCTGTGACAGCTCTCCTCCACCATCCACACTACATTCTGTGACAGCTCTCCTCCACCATCCACACTACATTCTGTGACAGCTCTCCTCCACCATCCACACTACATTCTGTGACAGCTCTCCTCCACCATCCACACTACATTCTGTGACAGCTCTCCTCCACCATCCACACTACATTCTGTGACAGCTCTCCTCCACCATCCACACTACATTCTGTGACAGCTCTCCTCCACCATCCACACTACATTCTGTGACAGCTCTCCTCCACCATCCACACTACATTCTGTGACAGCTCTCCTCCACCATCCACACTACATTCTGTGACAGCTCTCCTCCACCATCCACACTACATTCTGTGACAGCTCTCCTCCACCATCCACACTACATTCTGTGACAGCTCTCCTCCACCATCCACACTACATTCTGTGACAGCTCTCCTCCACCATCCACACTACATTCTGTGACAGCTCTCCTCCACCATCCACACTACATTCTGTGACAGCTCTCCTCCACCATCCACACTACATTCTGTGACAGCTCTCCTCCACCATCCACACTACATTCTGTGACAGCTCTCCTCCACCATCCACACTACATTCTGTGACAGCTCTCCTCCACCATCCACACTACATTCTGTGACAGCTCTCCTCCACCATCCACACTACATTCTGTGACAGCTCTCCTCCACCATCCACACTACATTCTGTGACAGCTCTCCTCCACCATCCACACTACATTCTGTGACAGCTCTCCTCCACCATCCACACTACATTCTGTGACAGCTCTCCTCCACCATCCACACTACATTCTGTGACAGCTCTCCTCCACCATCCACACTACATTCTGTGACAGCTCTCCTCCACCATCCACACTACATTCTGTGACAGCTCTCCTCCACCATCCACACTACATTCTGTGACAGCTCTCCTCCACCATCCACACTACATTCTGTGACAGCTCTCCTCCACCATCCACACTACATTCTGTGACAGCTCTCCTCCACCATCCACACTACATTCTGTGACAGCTCTCCTCCACCATCCACACTACATTCTGTGACAGCTCTCCTCCACCATCCACACTACATTCTGTGACAGCTCTCCTCCACCATCCACACTACATTCTGTGACAGCTCTCCTCCACCATCCACACTACATTCTGTGACAGCTCTCCTCCACCATCCACACTACATTCTGTGACAGCTCTCCTCCACCATCCACACTACATTCTGTGACAGCTCTCCTCCACCATCCACACTACATTCTGTGACAGCTCTCCTCCACCATCCACACTACATTCTGTGACAGCTCTCCTCCACCATCCACACTACATTCTGTGACAGCTCTCCTCCACCATCCACACTACATTCTGTGACAGCTCTCCTCCACCATCCACACTACATTCTGTGACAGCTCTCCTCCACCATCCACACTACATTCTGTGACAGCTCTCCTCCACCATCCACACTACATTCTGTGACAGCTCTCCTCCACCATCCACACTACATTCTGTGACAGCTCTCCTCCACCATCCACACTACATTCTGTGACAGCTCTCCTCCACCATCCACACTACATTCTCTGACAGCTCGCCTCCCACCATCCACACTACATTCTCTGACAGCTCTCCAGCTTCGCAGCAGTGTATGAGTGTGTCACTAATGTGTGGTGCAAATCCAGGTTGGGGGTTTTGAGTTATTCTATTTCTTACATGCAGTAGGCCGGATCCATATACACACAAACAGACAGACCGAGTTCCAGTTCTTATTCCTACATCATATTGCATATTTATTACTGTCAGTGCTCATTTCTTGCCCTCATGTGTCCATTGCTATTTCCTATTTGTTGCCCCATGTCTTGTATCTGTTACCCAACCATTGCTGGTTCCAGTTGCCATATTTGCCACGTATTACCCTCCAGATAAACAAAGGCTCATGGAGTTACCACAGTTCCCTGTTATGCTTATATTGTTAGAGATCACGGGGCTACATAACATAATGCATTTGTCAATAGCATCAGGAAGTGTGTGTTCTCTGATGTCTGACTAGATTTCCTTTAAATCTAAAACTTTTCCCACACTCAGAACATGCAAAAAGTCCCTCGCCTGTATGAATTTTCTGGTGTGCAATAAGGCTTCCTTTCCGAGTGAAAGATTTCTCGCACTCTAAGCAAGCGAAGGGGCGCTCCCCTGTGTGAATCCTTTGGTGTTCGATAAGAACTTCCTTCCGGCCGAAACTTTTTCCGCACTCCGAACATGAAAAAGGACGCTCGCCTGTGTGACTTCTCTGGTGTGTAAGAAGGTGTCCTTTCTGAATAAAAGATTTCCCACAGTCTGAACATGAATATGGACGCTTGCCTGTGTGGTTTCTCTGGTGTATGATAAGTTTTTCTTTCTCAGTGAAACATTTCCCACAGTCTGAACACGAAAAAGGATATTCCCCTGTGTGAATCCTCTGGTGTACAATAAGTGCGCTTTTCTGAACATAACATTTTCCACACTCTGAACAGGAAAAAAGGCCCTCACCAGTGTGACTTTTCTGGTGTAGAAGCAGATGTGCTTTGTGAAGAAAGCTTTTCCCACACTCGGAACATGAAAAAGGACGCTCACCTGTGTGGATTCTCTGGTGCTTATATAGATTTCCTTTTTGGCTGAATGCTTTCCCGCAGTCTGCACATGAAAATGGCAGCTTACCCGTGTGTCTTTTCTGGTGTCCAACAAGGTTTTCTTTCCGAGAGAAACATTTCCCGCACTCTGAACACGCAAAAGGATGCTCCCCTGTGTGGACTCTCTGGTGTGTAAGAAGTACAATTTTCTGAGTGAAACTTTTCCCGCACTCTGAGCACGAATAAGGACGCTCACCAGTGTGAATCCTCTGGTGTCTAACAAGGTCTCCTTTCTGAGTGAAACATTTGCCGCACTCTGAACAAGGGAATGGGCGCTCGCCGGTGTGAATTTTCTGGTGTTCAATGAGAACTCTTTTCCAAGTGAAACTTTTCCCACACACGGAACATGAAAAGCAGCGGTCACTCGCGTGACTTGCCTGGTGTTTAAGAAGTGCTTTCTTGTCAGTAAAAGATTTTCCACACACCGAACATGACAATGAATTCTCTCCTGTGTGCGCTCCTTGATGGGTTAAAAAAGATTCCTCAGGATTAGATGGATCCATTGAACTTCCCAATCGGTCCGAATTCACTCCGGGGGAATATTGCGCAGTGTCACTATCTTCTTCATTGCAATCTGGAGATATCATAGGAGCTCGATTGGAGACACTCGAATTCTGAGCGTAGAGTCCACCTGTTGGAAAGCAATTGTTTAATAAATGTTATTCATCATACATTATATGTCTAGGAATGGAGATGGACCTTCATATGGTGTACAGTATCTCCTCCTCATTTGTTGGTCACATGACGTTATATTGAGGAATGGAGATGGACCTTCATATGGTGTACAGTATCTCCTCCTCATTTGTTGGGGACATGACGTTATATTGAGGAATGGAGATGGACCTTCCATATGATTTATCATTGTTGGAGAAAATTGGGCCAAGCCTTAGGTGGAATTAGTGAACTCAATGCACGTGTCTGTTTTCAACCTATGTAATAACGTATTTTATTATCATAGAAGTAACATTGAAATGTTCTTATTATATTATACGGGATTTAAAAAGCGCCAACATTTTGCTCAGCAAACTGAATTGTTTCTGCATTTAGTGTTTATGACTTACTTGTGTCTATATAGAGAGATTTCTCCTCTTTACTCTTCATCATCATCATCTCCCCCTCCTCCATAGACTGCTGAGCTCCACTCACCAACGTCTCTTCTTCTTCTTCCTCTTTCACCTCAACTTTGATGTCTTTCAGTTCTTCATCCTAAAAAACAAAGATGGCAGAACACATTTGTAATAGGCATTCACAGAGAATAATGTTATCTTGAAGCTTAGAACACATTATTAGGTGAACATGCTGAGTCTCATCTACCTGATCCTGGTGGGGGACGGTGAGATCTTCCTGTGTGGAATCCCGGGAGTACAGAGGACGGAGACATCTCTCTGGTGGGTTCCTCTTACTGGATCCATCTGTAGGAAACACACACACTGACTGAATACATTGTTTCTATGTGTGTATCAGATGATGGGGGATCTAGGTGGACCCTCCGTACTGCACTCTCCTCTTACCCAGTGATGTGAGGGGCGGCTCATTCTCCATCATGACGTCCCTATAGAGATCATCTAACTTGAATAGGTGACAGTCTACAGATCCTCAGTCATCAGTCCATATATTGGAACAGTTTCTATATCTAGTGTTCATTACTCACCTGTGCTGATATCTAGAGAAGGTTCCTCCTCTTTCATTGTCACCATCTTCACAACTTCGTCCGTAGTCTGCTCGTATTCCATCAAAGACGTTTCCTCTTCTTCTTCTTTAACCTTAACTATTATATACATCTGTTCTTCGTGCTAAACCAACAGAATTATAGAAAGTAACATACAAGGACCATCAGGATGAGGTTACACAGAAGAGTATACTATCATACGGTCTAGTGTCACTGTGCATTCTATTCATCTACCTGATCATGGTGGGGGATGGTGAGATCTTCCTGTGTGGAATCCCGGGAATACAGAGGACGGGGACATCCCTCTGGTGGGTTCCTCTTACTGGATCCATCTGTAGGAAACACACACACTGACTGAATACATTGTCTCTATGTGTGTATCAGATGATGGGGGATGTAGGCGGAGCCTCCGTACTGCTCTCTCCTCTTACCCGGTGATGTGAGGGGCGGCTCATTCTCCATCACCACGTCCTTGTAGAGATCCCGGTGTCCTTCTAGATACTCCCACTCCTCCATGGAGAGATAGACAGAGACATCCTGACACCTTATAGGAACCTGACACACACAATGATACAGTCACCATCCAGACACATCCCTTGTCTGTTCCTGGTCATGCATGTGGAAAAAATAAGTATAGGACACACCCTGGAACGCCTCAATATTTTCACGTATATTTGTTGTTATACTCGGTATTAAGAGAGTTTCCTTGTATCTAGAATTTTTCACAAAATAGGAAAATAATGTCCGGTTTTTTTTTAGCAAAAAATGGCACTAAAGAGTTAAAATACACGTGTGTGAAGAAAAAAAGAGAAGAAAAAGAATAGTCAACATCGAAGATACTTGATGTAATTAGTAGAGATATGCAGGGCCGGTCTCCCTGCCGCCCCAAAGCCAGGTTCTGCGATGCTTCGCAGGTTCACCCCCCCTTCCCATCAATGGAGAATGGCAACCAGATGGCAGGGCAGCGGGGTTAGTAAAACATTTTTTAACTTTTTTATCACTTTTTATTTATTTATTTATTTATCTCTTTTTCATTTTTATTTATTTTTATCAATGTAATTTTTTATTATTTGTATTTATCTTATTTACTTTTTTTTAAATAATATTTTTTAATCTTATTATTG